TGAAGGATTTGGTCCTATGACGCAACTCTTGTATGAGTCTAACCGTCGTAGGGTTTAATCTTTTAATCTAAAATTATTTAAGTTATGTTGAATGTGATTGTATTCATGCAGTAGTTAACCGACACCAATGGGGGTCGTTTGGAAATTGATGGTAGGGTTAGATGTGAATGATAGGATAGCCTAAGGAATATGTAGTACTCATGATGCGCATTTTAGCAAGTGTTGGAAGTTCCATGGAGGGGTTATATACAAGCAACCGACCATCTGAGGAATGTCTAGCCTTTATCTAGGGAGTGAAAATAGGATGTATGCGTATTCTAGTGTGTGTTGTTAGGGTTGTTGTAATGATCTTCTGAGACAAATACGGGTAGGTGGGAAAGGTAGTATGGGCCCGTACTACCGGAAGCACAGGACCTGTACACGTAGCAGGGAAGTCACAACCCCTAGGGTTCCGCTATTTAGAATATATCATATGGTATGAAATGCGTTTTTATCTGATATATTTCTGGTTTATTTTCAGTATGGTGTTCACGAGGGGATCCGGATCAGGAGCTGGAGCGAGTGGACATGATAGGTCATGTTTGGGTCTATCAATACCGCCATGATTGAGTACTTTGATGACCGTTACATTGCACTTTCTGAGGCTGCTGTTGCTGCAACTACCATGGTCATTGCGGTCGCTGGGGTTCGTGGAGAGAGAACCTTCCAGTATCGGGACTGCGACAATACGAAGCCCCTGGTGTCCGTTGGGGTTCAGGATCTGATCATTGCTATGAGGTGGTTGTCCAATGTTAAGGGATGTTTCTTTACTTGCTCCTGTCCAGCTGACCAGAAGGTCAAGTGCGCCCTGAACCTTCTCAGGTTGGGGGCGAATGATTGGTGGAGGTTGGTTACTAGCTCTTATACTCCGGAGCAAAGGACTGCTGTTTCATGGGATCAGTTCTCTGAGATGTTATGCACGAGACATGTTCTATTGGTTGAGAGGGAGAGATTAGCCCAAGAGTATCTGAACTTGAGGCAGGGGATTGATTCAGTGACTAAGATAACCAAGATGTTTACTGAGAGAGCACTGTTTTGTCAACATAGGAGAAGAAGATGGAGACTTACAAGAAATGGGGTTGCTCTGAAGCTCATATCTTGCTATTCTGTAGGGTTAATCCAGGGTGTATGTTGAATTCAGAGAAGAAAATAGATAAAGTAATGAATTATCTTGTTAATAAGATGGGGTTTGAGGCATCTGTTATTGCAAAGAATTTTGGTCTCATTTCGCACAATATGGAGAAAAGGATTATTCCAAGATGTTTGGTTTATAAATATTGTTTGGACAACGGATTGATGAATGATAAAAAAAATATTGTGGTTTCATCTGGTGGTTGACCTTACCTGAGAATATGTTCATGAAGAGGTTGGAAGGATATAATATAAAAGCTCCAAATGTTTTGAAATTTTATGAGGAAAAGTTAGATCAGACAAATTGAAAATGGTAATATGTTGTAAGTATATGGTAATTGTTGTTGTCATTTTTCGATTTTATGTTTATATGAGATATAGATAATTTTTTGGTGACTGATGATATTAGAATTATTATTTTTTCTTTCCCATTTTATACACATCTTGCAAAATGATTGCATGAGTTTCTATGTTGATGTCATTGTTTCTTGTCTAGCATTCATATCTATGGTCATATTTGCTTGAACAATCAATGATTTTGTGTCTCAATTGATTCAAAGGATATTTGTTTTTGGGTGATGATCATTGTGCTCGTGTTTGTTGTAGTATTTTCACATACAACTTTTAAGATGCTCTTTTTGAATAACATGTTCTAAATGTTTAAGAGAGGTTTGGTTTAGATTTCGATATGGTTCCTATTCATAGCCTTGGCAAAGGGGTCCCATTTTTTGGTTTGTTTGCATTATAAAGATATGTCTTTGTAACATCATAGCACAAAACTAATGTTATCTTCCTTAAGTGAAAGTAATGCGTCCATTCCACCTTCACTCAACTTCAAAGTATGATCCTTAATAAGAAAAAAATTAAAACTATAATGCTTTAATACAAAACAATAAAGTTGTATGGTATGTATAATAAGCAAATAAATTAAAGTACATTGCTATTTTTTGTATTTACCCTTAACAAAAGTGAATGTTCAATGCAATAATAAAAAGAAACTAAAGTAGAATGCTATAATACACGAGTGCCACCTAAAATCAGTTTTTTTACAATATTAATACATAATTTAAACAAGGACCAAATGTGAAAATAACAATGTAGTTTTATTTATTTTTTGCTATAACATCCTATTCATCCTTGGTTTACAATTATAAATAATATTATCTCATTAAGAAGTCGACTTTATTACAAAACATTAGTAGGATTATTATAGAAAAAGGATAAATCTAAACAAAAATGTTAAGTTTTCTCTGTAATTTAAACAAAAATCAAGTCTTTTCCACAAAAAAGGATAAATCTAACCACATATTTTGCAAGGGTGGCCAACAAAATAGTTGTTTTCCATGTAAGAAGACATCTTTTTGACCATTTTGTAGTTAGTCCTACGAAATGACCCGCAAAATTACCATGTTACAGGTTTGCCCAACAAAATGATTATTTCGTAGAGTTAACCTACAAAATGATCATTTATTTATTTGAAAATTTTGTAGTGAAATAACTAACCTGCAAAATGATAATTTATTTATTTGAAGGTTTTATATAAAATTTTATAAAATTCTGAAACCAAACTCATGTTATATATATATATATATATATATATATATATATATATATATATATATATATATAAAATTCCACCTAACTCCATCTACTAATATTAAATCTATCAGTGGCCTTATGCACTTATTACACAAAGAGATTAAAACCATATCATATTTCATACCAAACCCCATCTTAACTCATTTCCTGAACATTCCGATGAAAAGAATTTCCACCTTTCATGGTAGATCATATTTTCATAGTTATGAAGTGCACCGTAGATAAACAAAAGAGAGACACGAAACACTAGATAACTTAAAGAACATGTAAAGGTTATCTATGAAGAGGAAAAAGATGAAATGGATAAAAGATAAGAAAAAAAACCTAAAAATTATATACATGTGACTTTGTCATACCGACAAAAATCTTTAAAACTTTACGACGAAATGATCCACCTTGAAGATAATATTAGAATTAGGCAAAATTTTATTGATGACGAAAAATCATTAACATCCATTATAATTTCCGGATAGCTCGTAATTTCCTTACAATGAGTTGGATGACATATTTTACTATGTGTTATGCTGCATTTCTATGCGCCTTTTGTGACGATTATATATCAGTTTACACATTTCTTTGTGTTTATTTGTTTCATAATTTACATTGTATCATTTTGTCTGTAAACTTTTATTTTTTTTATTGTTGTAATAGATTTCTATCTGCTTTTTTTTGCCTAACAAAATATTATAATAATAAATACAAAACAATGTACAAAATATTACATCCTAAGAACAAAAATTCAACAAACATTTAAAAAAAACATATTATGTAAGTCGGGTCCTATGATGAAAAGTTATACCACATTGTTTTCATGTACTCTCTATTAGCTTAGGATGACCAAAACTAATTATTGCAAAAACATAGATACAAAACTCAACAATCTCTCAAATATTGATCTATATTTCTATAGACAATCTAAGACTCTATAAATATGACATACAGTTTCCATAAAGTTCATTTGCCCACTGAAACTCCGGTTAGCTTGCTACAATAAAGCAAGACAACGAAAATTAACACTCATGAGGAAAAGTGGCTTATGGTATTTTCGAAGGACACACATGCAAAAAAAAAAAAGCCATAATGAGTATTTTTGTAAGCCAGTTTTAGCATACATGTGAAAATACCACAAGTGACCTACAAAAATGGGTGTGTTGGCAAATAAATTATTGTATTCTTGTAGATATGACCTTAGAAAATAACCGTTCCGCTGGGCACACTACTAGAACTTACCCAGCAAAATTACCCATTTTCATATGTTAATTGTGGTATTTTTGTCGGTATGCTTACAAAAATACCAAAAAATACCTTCAAAAATGGCCAAGTACTTTTTTAAAGTAAAATAGGAAAACAAAAAGGCTAGAAACCTATTTTAGACACTCAAATTCGATTAAAAACACGTAGTTTCGCAGAAGGCCTGTAAAAATGATATTTTGTCTATTTTTTGGTGTATAAATGTCAAATCTGTACAATATATACAAGTATAACAAAGATAAACTTACTTCATTCAACCCATTATACTTATTTTGAACCACATCGTTTGGAGTTCATTAGTTTGTTACGAAATTAAAAGTCGGAAAAAAAAATTGTTTTAAATATGGGGACAAATCAAGGCCCATGTCTCAACCCATTAACAATTTCATTGGGTATGAGACCCATTTTAGAGAAAATTGATAATCATATTGGAGAAAGGTTAATTTTTATCTAAATTTGGAAAAACCTTAGTATTGTTTTTGTTAGATTTTTCTTTTCCTTTCTTAACGCTCATATACAAATAAGAACTTACCTTCCTAAATGCTTTATGAATTCTTGCATCCCATTAAATAAGAACTTACCTTCCTAAAGGATTGTTCTTACTTCTTACTTCAAGGGATTAGATCACTACATCACTAGTCGTCCAAAGAATAAGATAATAATACTATTTTCTCAATGATTGATGTTTTTGGTATTTTAACATTTATATACACTTACATGAGGTGGATAATGCCATTCATAGATATCAGCACAAACCAAAAGAAATAAAAAAGAAGTTAAACAGCAGAAACAAAATCACTGACTGGAAGATTATCTGTTACCAAACAAATGATCTAAAAATCTCATATCAACATTAAATCTAAGTGAATTTATACTCTAAATACAACAACATGATCAAAACTATCTCCATCATCAACAAGGAGATAGATTTGCTAATGGAATCAACAACAATTACAACATAGTTGGAACAGATTACCATCTCATTTTGCAAGATCCAACTTTTCCTGATAGAATTTCAAAACACCTGGAGCTTCTTCCTCATATCTTTTCAGTCTCTTGACAAATATATCCTCCGAACACTTCAACCACCAGCAGAAACCACAGTAATTTTTATCATTCATCAATCCGTTGTCCAGACAATATTGATAAACCAAACATCTTGGAATAATCCTTTTCTCCATACTCAATGAAATAATTACAGAATTCTTTGCAATAACGGATGTCTCAAACCCCATCTTATTAACAAGATAATCCATCACTTTATCGATTTTCTCCTCCGATTTCATCATACACCATGGATCAGTCCTAAATGATAGCAAGATCTGGGCTTTAGACCAACCCCATTTCTCATAAGTCTCCATCTTCTTCTCCCAAGTGGACTTGCTCATTGATCTAACAGCATGAACAGCTAACATAAAACTTGATTTCAAAGGATCAAACCCCATCTCCACAACTTCCTCCACAGCCTTTTTGAATTGGTCTGTAGTAACTAAGAAATCTCTAGGCTGATAAGTTAACAGATACAACATCTTTGATCCAGGCACCCCAACATCACGCAATATTTGCATATTTGGAATCACATTTGCTTGGAAATCCCAATCCAAGACCCACGCACACCTCCTGATTGCAATAAGTGTTCTATCATCGGATTGAAGTAAATCTCTAAGTAAGTTGAAGGTAGGTTCTAAATGATTCTTCAAGCTTCTGCCTAGGGCTTTGGGTCTTGCAGTTAATAACTTGACAATATCAGAATCTGAAAGTCCTATGGAACTTAAGAACTCGAATTTGGGCAAAAGATTTGTTTCGGGATTACATGTGAGAGCCATGGGGAACTTTCGAACCAAATCAGAGATTTGAGTTTCTGTGAACCCTTGATTCTTAAAAAAGGTTATCACAGAGTCTGCTCGATCTGGGGTTTTGATGTGTAAGTATTTGGAAGCTGAAATCGCCTTGGCTGGAGGAAATCCACATGAGTCTACGAGGTAAGAAACTGTAAATGAGTTATCTGATGCTGCTGCTGGTGATGAACATGATGAGCGAGGAAACAGTCTATTAATCGATGGTGTTTTGAACACAGTAAATGTCAAGTTTTTGCCGATGAGATTGAACATTGTGAGTGGAAATTGTTATGATGGACCTGTGGATTGAGTTTACGACTTGTATGCGATTAAAGCTTCTGGATTTTGTGCTTTCTATATAATCGGGTTTCACTTGAAAAACCCTAAAACAAAACCCTTTGAGGGTTTCAAAGGGCAAACTCTTTAGCTAACTGGATACTCTTTTTACTATTCTAAGTTTTTTTTTTTTTTTTTTTTTTTTTTTTTTTTTTTTTTGTTTAAAGAAGTGTTTGACAAAAAAAAACTTAGACAAAACTTCAAAAATGGTCCCTGTGGTTTCCGAAAATATCAAGTTTAGTCCCTAAGTTTAAAAAACCTCACAGATGGTCCCTGTGGTTTCAAAACTTTTAACAAATGGTCCTTCCGCCTAACTCCGTCAGCTTTCTACCGTTAAATGAGGGGCATTTTCGTCATTTCAATACACAGGGACCATTTATGAGGTTTTCTCTATTTAAAAAAAAAGAAAAAATAATAATTATTTAATTAAAGGGCCTCTCTCTCTCTCTCTCTCTCTCTCTCTCTCTCTCTCTCTCTCTCTCTCTTCTTCGAGACATTTGCACAGATCACGAGCCCACTTCTCTCTTCTTCATCCTCGCTTTCCCTATATAATCATTAGCACTACCATCGCCCAAAAAATGCTCAAATTCTTCCAAGAAGAAGAAAAAAATGGAACGAGATTACCCACAACAAGATTACACCTTCTATAATGGCGACAGTTTCACTTCCACCTCCACCGCTGCTGCTTATGCTTCTGTTTTTTAAGATGTGATCGGGAAATCGAAGCTGTGGGATGAGGTTGAAGAGCAAGATGTCAACGTTGATGAGCTGTTGGCGGTGCTTGGTTACAAAGTTAAGTCGTATGATATGGCTGATATTGCGCAAAAGATCGAGCATTTGGAGGGTGTTTTGGGGAACGACGATGGGTTGTCTCAACTTGCTTTCTGATTCTATTCATTATAACCTTTCAGATATTCAATTAATGATTTGTGAGTTGAACCCCAAAAATCAACCACCTGTTATCGATGATTTGTTTGTGAACAACACCGCCTCTGTAACTCTGTCAGCTATAGAATCATCTTCTGTCTTCGTTGACAATCTATAGAGGATCCCCGAAAATGCAATTGAAAGGAAATAAGATCACTATGTTTCTCTGTTTTGTATTTTAACCCATGACTGATTCCTTACACATGGGTATAAGCGATTAATTCAAGAAATCATAAATTCGTTTTTATGTGTATATTTTCATTTTCCTTGATTGTACATTTTTGTGTATTGAGTCCACCTACAATTTGGATTTCAATTAGAAGTAAAAACAAAGATTCCATGGTAAACTTCTTAAGTTGCACACCAACTGTTTGTGGAAATTCCCCAATGACTTCAATTCGTTTACGCCCCAACCTGGTTGTTTCTTGTATCACAGCTTCACCATATTGATATTAGACATCACTTTTCAAAATTATCAAAACCTAGCTATTAAGAGAAACTAAAACACATGATAGAGAGAAGGGGATCAATGGTTTCTTGCGCCATGATGGTGGTGGTGGATGCTTCTGAGGTCACTGATATATATATATATATATATATATATATATATATATATATATATATATATATATATATATATATATATATATATATATATATATATATATAGAGAGAGAGAGAGAGAGAGAGAGAGAGAGAGAGAGAGAGAGAGAGAGAGAGGTGCCCTTTAATATTAAATAATTATATTTTTTTCTTTTTTTTTTACAAAATAAGGCAAAACTTCATAAATGGTCCCTGTGGTGGTGAAATGACAGAAATGCCCTTCACTTAACAGTCAAATGTTAACGGAGTTAGCGAAAAGGACCATTTGTTAAAAGTTTTGAAACCACAGGGACCATCTGTGAGGTTTTTTGAAATTAGGGACTAAACTTGATATTTTCGAAAACCACATGGACCATTTTTGAAGTTTTGTCAAAAACTTATTATTTATTAGCTTATTGGCTTATAAACTAATAAGTTAAAGAGGGTTAACTTGTGAAAAATGAATTATTAACCGTTTGTCACCGTTTTAAGTTATTTTTATCTAAATATTTTTTAACTTATAGCGGTGTGGAACCCTAATAAGCTATTTTGTCAAACACCATCTAAATCAAATTGGATTTGATGATTCTTTATATTCAAACTTTTTTCCAATCACTTGGTTTACTTTACATCCATTGCTTATTAAGGTCATATGTTTTTATCATTTTATTCTTAAGTTACAGATTTATTCACTTAACTAACTTTCCGCATATCACCACCCACAAAACTACTTATTCACATTTTAACAAAAAAATAACCACCATGTTGTCTACGCTAGCATGGGCTTGCAAACCGCAACAGGCTCGGGCCCAGGCCCAATAACTCTCGAATAAAAGTAGAAGTCGCATAACTTGTTGATACTATACGAAGATGAACAATATTCATTACCTTGTAAAAAATGAAAGAAAAGTACGAAATCGAAGAACTAGCCAGATCCATCCTTTGCACCTAACGCTTCCCACCAAATTAAAGATGACCTTGGATTTTGTTTCTTCAACCATAGGTTTTAGAACTCGTGAACTCGTTGATGACAATCAATAGAATTCAAGGAAGGGAAGAGGTGAAAACTCTCATTGTCAAACACCATGATTGTGTATCCCTCTTTGTAGATTGTAAATAGGGGTTGTTTATAAGAACACCATGGTTCTGCTTAATATGACTGTGATTTGTAACTATCATAACATACTTATGTTTAATTTCTCTAATTTGTAAAAAACACTAAATCGTGAGAAGATTATCAACAATGAACAATGACTTGTGAAGAAAAAAAAGAGAGGGAAAAAGCTCACTCGCGAAAAAACGACATGCTTTATACACTCGCAAATTTGAAGGGAAGGTTAGCGATTTTTATTTTTATTTTTTTTAAGAAAAAGTAAGCTCTCATAAAAAAAATAACATCAGAATTTGCTGATTTAGATAGTTATTTTGTGGTAAAAGATGAACCTGTGGCCACTTGCATATATTTGACACCCAAATAAAGTCATTTTAGTTAACAAGGCTTTATTCTTTCATTTAAATAATATTTTTAGTTTATAATTTTAGTTATAGTAAATTACAAGTCGAAGTTGTTATGGTTTAGTGCCTATGGTTTCACTTTGTAATGAATTTGACCTTAAAGGAGTATTTTACCCTTTGAATTGTTTTTCTAAATTGCTATTATATATATACAATTAAAATCCAAGGTTCTAAATAACGCGAGACGTGGTTTGGCGGCAAGGTCAAAGTTAAGTCATGACAAGCTTTGGCGAGCCATGACGTTTTTCAAGACGTGACTATTTTATATATATTAAAAGAGATAAATCATATAATTATTGAATTTTATCAAGTATATCAAGTTTTTAGAAGTGTTATATTAGTATTTAATATAAAAAGTTAACAAAAACTCAATTATTTTAGGCCCGATAAAAAAAACTAAAAAAAAAAAAACTAGAAAAACTCGCGCCTTGAAAAAAACTCGCGCCATAACGCGATAAGACGCGCCTTGACACGTTATTTGGGCGCTACGCTTAACAAACCCGCCTTGGACGTTTTCGTAACGGCTACACCAGGCGTCACGTCATGGCGCGCTTTTTAGAACCATGTTAAAATCTAACCATCCACCCCACCCCACCCCACCATCGCCACCACACAATAACTTATATACTATGGCTTTATTGCATCCAAACAACATTCATAACATATGAAAGGTACAAAATACGGGAATACAATTATCTGTTTAGATCAAAGTGAGGATGTTACACCATCATCCAAGTCGAATCAGGCATCCAAGACGACAATGTAGAAGACCGTCTATCATATTTCACGACATATTTAGTAACCATTCAATGGCATTGTTTCTTTATTTTAGGACTTACCTCCTAAACTAGATAGATCCTTACCCAGTTGGGATTAGGTTTAGGACTATTATAAATAGGGTTTATTGTCGCCAGAATTATTGATTTAGTTTTTTTCGATATTTGTTCGATAAATATTGATATTTGAGATAAACTAATGAATAAATCAATAAATGTTGTTCTTAATTTTGTTCTTCATTCTTCATGAAATCCGACTAATATTATTCGTTATCCTTCCACTATTTAAGCAAGGATTCTAAACATATAAAGCATATGGTCATGCTTGTAATGTTGAAAGAACAAGTAAGACAAATGTTAATTTTCTTTTCACAAATCAGGTGAATGCACATGCTATTATGTTAATGCTAACTTTCAAAAATATGCAAGCACATCAAGAAGAGGCACCTTACACCTAGACAACTTTTAAGATACCATTTTCAATTTGCATGATCCAAGTAACTTTTCTTGATAGAATTTCAAAACACCTGGAGCTTCTTTCTCATATCTTTCCAATCTCTTGATGAATATATTATCCTTACACTTCAACCACCAACTGAAACCACTTTTATCTTTCAACAAGCCATTGTCCAAACAATATTGGTAAACCAAACTTCTTGGAATAGTCCTTTTCTCCAAACTATATGAAAGGAGCATAGCATTCTTTGCAACAAAGGATGTCTCAAACCCCATCTTATTAACATGAAAAACCATCACTTGATTGAATTTCTCCTCTGATGTCTTCATAAACCATGGATAAGTCCTAAAGGCTTGCAAGATCTGAGCTTTAGACCAACCCCATTTCTCATAAGTCTCCATCTTCTTCTCCCAAGTCGACTTGCTTAGTGACCTAACCACGCTAATTGCTAACATGAAATTCGGTTTCAAAGGATCAAAACCCATTTCCACAACTTCCTCCACAACCTTTTTGAACAATTCTGGACTAACTACAAAATATTTAGGTAAGTGAGTTAATACGTATAACATATTTGATCCTGGAACACCAACATCTCGCAATAATTCTATATTTGGAGCCAAATTTGCCTGGTAATCAAGACCCAAGTACCATGGAAACTTCCTGATTGCAATAAGAGCTCT